GGGGGCTAAGAACATGCTTATCTCCCTGAGCATGGCCTTCATAAGTCCATTCCATCACAGCTTAGCTTGAATGACCAGATTTCTACAACCTGGTATCCTTCAGACCTGGTTGGCCTGACATTTCCAGAATTCCTGCCAGTTTGGGGATTTGGGGAGTTGGAATTTAAATCTTTCTGGAGGATGCTAGGCTGGTGATGACCCTGAACCTGTTTACTTTATTTCAGCAAACTGGATGAAGACTATCTGTACATGGCATATGCTGACATCATGGCCAAGGTAAGCAAGAGATGGGCCATTTCAGTCTGATTCAAAAGCTCGGCTGAAGGTCTTGCAATGTTGCCATCTCTGTACTAGGAGTATGTGGCTTCTGTGGGTTCACATGCTGCATCAGACTTTTTGTGGCATGTCAAAGTCTGCTCTCCAAAAGTGGGTGAGGCAAGACCCATTGCTGGGAGGGACTGGGGGGAATGGGATGCAGCCCATTTCTGGATCATGTAGGGAATGGGTCATGGCTGGGACAGTTGTGGAAAGGATCTTGGTGTATCTGCTGCTCACCTCTTTTCTCTGTTTTTATTCTTGGGACTTCAGAGCTGCCACATTAATGAAGAAGAAGAAGAAGGCAATGGGGAAGAGGAAGAAGATGAAGTGCCATTTGAGGTTAGTGGCTTCTCTCTTCTCAACTTCCCAGATTGGTTTTGGGCATTTTTAGACCTTAGCTTGCAGGCAGTCAAACCTCTCTTCTTGGTGAGAAGAACTGCATGCTCCCAACTTGCCAGGAAAGTCAAAATGATTTAGATCTGAAACCTAATCCTACAGTTCAATAAGAGGACAACGATAGCATAGAGCAATTAATAGGAGCACTCCTGCTTACAGATGTGGGAGAAGGAACATCCCTTTAAAACTTCATACCATCTCCTGAACCCTCATAAAAGTAGCAGGAGAGACCTAGGTTGGATCAGGCCCATTTAGCGCAGCATTCTGGACCAAGCTAAAAGAGAAGAAATATTAGGCGAAGAGATGTTAATAATAGTGTCGCCACCTCAATAATTCACCAGTCCCCTGGTTAATTAATAACCATTAATGAATAATTAATAACATTCAGATGAAAGCATTTCAGGCCTGATGGCACAACTAGGTTTTGAGGGACCTTCAGAAGTTAGAAGTGATGAAGCCAGCAGAGGAAATCTCCCCGTCTTCCTCCTATAACATCACCCCTGTTCCTTTGTCTTCTTGCAGGAAAAGGAGATGGAGAAGCAGAAGCTTTTGTACCAACAATCTCGACTTCACAATCGTGGAGCAGCTGAGATGGTCCTGCAAATGATTAGCGCTTGTAAAGGTTAGAAGTGATCCTTCTTTTTCCTCCCTCTTATCTACAGCAAAGACAGGTCAGTGTTACTTCATCCCAAGATAGTAAATCTTGATTAAGTTGGGAAGAACTATATCTGGGAGATTTGGGAGGATTTGCAAGTAATGCTGTCCATCAACCCTTTTCTCTTCAGCCATAGAAATTAGAAACTTTCTTTTCTTTTGATTTTAAATTCCTAGGATCTTGGCTAGATTTCAGATTCTGTGGAGTGTACCATATGAGGTTGGAGAAACCTTTCAAGGTCTTAAACTGTCACACCTTGTTATTTCAAACTAAACGGTAATTATGGCGCTTTAGCTTTGCCCAGAGTTTCAAGAGTGAGTACAAAGGCTCCAGAGTCTAGCACCAAGGCTCTAAGATCCCTTCTCACTTGGTTTTTAGATGTATGTCCTGGAGAAAAAGGTCACTGTGTTCCAAGACAAGAGATGTCATGAAATAGCTAATTTTTCTGTCTTGACAGGGGAGCCTGGAGCCATGGTCGCCTCTACTCTGAAATTGGGTATCTCCATCCTAAATGGTGGCAATGAGGATGTACAGCAGGTAAGAAGAGGGAGACAAGGATTCTGGGCAGGTTCTTCACTGCTAGTTCTTTATTCCTTACACTTTTCTGACTTCTGACCTTCCTGTTGTGTACTGGATAAGGCAAAGAGTACCTGCAGATATAAAGACTTAAAATCTACACAGCTGAGATTTTGGAAGGAAAAAGAAGTTAGTTCAGTGTAAAGAGAAAATAATAGACAGGTAGCAGTAAGTGCAAATGTTTGAGGAATTGCAAGGAAGGGGGCTGCTTGGAGGGAAGGTGTTGGAGACCAAGAAATAGTTTGTCCCAAGATTAACAGGCTCAGATAATACTGGATATAGTATAAAATTAGGGCAGAGAGAGGGAAGTGGTGGTTGGAGTTGGAGAATGGTGGTTCAGTGGGAAGCATTCTGGAGAACACCTGATGGTGGGAGACATCCTTTAAAAGAAGGTTAAGAGCAAGCTACGCATCATATTAAATGGATATGCATTTTGTTGTCCATCATGGGCCCTCCTCCCCAGTATAAATCAGAATTGTGGAATTAACTGAAGAAGGCAGAATTACATGATCTGGTGGTCTCCTTTGAAGCATCTGATTTGGGGTTGGGGGTGGAGGTACATCATGTCAAGACCAGATTCTCTCACAAGGTGATTAACTCATTTGTAGGGAAGGGAGATACTTACCAGGTCCATGGTATGGAGGAAGGTGTGGTTCTCCTTCTACCTATAGTATGGTCCTTCAATAGATCAGGTTTTCAGAGCTGCAAATGTGAAGAATGCTGCATCTAAGCAGACAAGCACTTGCAGTGTTAGGTTTTGATTCTCAAAAAAGCCAAACATTAGGTTCCCTAGTCCTCTCAAAATGTTGACTTTCCCCCTCTCTTTAGAAAATGCTGGATTATCTGAAGGAGAAACGTGAGGTGGGATTCTTCCAGAGCGTCCAGGCACTAATGCAGACATGCAGGTACTTAGCGGTATCTTCTACTTTTCCCTTTTCTTTCTATACTTCTCATTATCTTGGTCTTCTTGCCTGCAGTCTGCAGCTTGAGGTCCTCTAGATTCAGCAAGGCCTTGCAGACTGGATGACTGTGAGATTATAAAGTTGCAAACTTCAGTCCATGTCTCTTTCACATACTTCTGCTTAAAAACTGCTGTGCCAATTCCCTCAGCCATCTTCAAGTTCACTTCACTGATGGTTCCTCTTTGGGGACAGGGAAATGCCAAGAATGGTGAGATCACTATGTGTATCTTCTGGGAAGAGATAGAAAGAAGTGGGGGATGCATTCCAAGAATGTATGGTGACCTATAGCTTGGAGCTCAGTGGGAGCAATTTGAGGAGACTTTGGGAACTCCAGATTTAAGGATGACTTCCTATAGGCCACCTTTTCCATCCGTGGGACTGCTGTGTATGTCTGATGTTGTTATTTAATTTCCCACAGTGCCTTGGACTGAAGCTAGGTTGAGGCATCATAGGATATTTAAGATGGTGACCCAGGTCAAGAGATAAAGTCATTAGGTCATCCTTGGGCATGCAATTGGGTTGCCTGCTGCTGCTCAAGATGGAGTCCTAATATACAAAAAAAACCAACCCAAGAGAATTTGTGAATGTGAGAACACATAGTAGGGAGCTTCCCTGTTGGATCTGTTTTGGTCCAGAGAAATCAGGTGGAAGTAAAACTAGGTCACTATCATCCTGGGAGCTGCTACCCCAGTTTTTATTGGTCTTACAACACCCATTCTGCTGTTTCCTCCCCTCTTCTTTTTCTGTTTCTCTCCTTCATTCACAGTGTGCTGGATCTCAATGCTTTTGAGAGGCAAAACAAAGCTGAAGGACTTGGGATGGTGACAGAAGAAGGAACAAGTAAGTTGTTCTGCCCCAGCAGATGCTCCAGCAAATCAACCAAGAGCTGAGCCCACCCTGCTTGTCTTAGCTCTTCTGCCCCATAAGGCAGGTGGAAGCAACACCCTACCCCACCTTCTAACACCCCCAAGGTTGAGTCTGGCCACCAGATTTGTTTGGGGAGGTTGCCCAGGGCCCCATGGCAAAAAAATTCAGCAATGGAGGCCAGGAGGCATTGCATGTCGGAAATCTGGTTTCTTTGCTGGAAGATGCCTTTCCGGGCATTTATCCAGGGTGGATCTGGAGCAGGCTCAGAGTTATTTTGGGAGATTGGGGGCAGAGTTCTTTTCACATCTCTGGGAAGGGATGCAAGAGAGTTGTTTTCAAGATGGACACTGGGGGCTGGAACGTCACCTTTCACAGTCCTGCCCAGAGTTCATCCTCTCCCTCCTCTTCCCCCAAACCCAGTCCAATCCTCTGCATATTCTCTTTGCATTCACTGCTTCCTTCTGATAAGACGCGGATTAATTGAGATTTCTAAAACCAATAATGGATTCTCACCCTCCCAACCAACCTCCCTCCACCTCGGGTTCTCTGGTCTCATCCGTTCTCCATTCCACATTAATGGCACTTTAATCTATTTTGGTTTTTTACTCCCTCTCTTTGGTTTATAATTGTCTCCTTTTCCTTCTTTGCTGTGACGTCTTACACTCACCTCCTCTCTCCTCCTTCCTCCTTCTCTTCCCTCCCCTTCCCTCCCCTCCCCTTTCCTGGTGTCACTGCTGCCCCTCCCTCAGTCATCAGTCGTGAAAATGGTAAATAATCTCTTCTGCTTTTGTGAAATTTAGTTTTTTTTAATGATCAGTTTCTTGGCTTATTTTATTTTTCATTTTAATTGCCCTTTCTAACCTGAGAGATTTAAAGCTAAAGAACTGATCAGAACCTCCACCTCCCATTTCCTCCCAACCCTGGTTTAGAATCCAGGATCCCAAAAGTCTTGAGGAATTAACAAGGGGTGTCTAACATACTGGGTGCTGCAAATGACAGTCCTGTATTTGGACCAGCTAGGCGATGGGCAAGATGAATGTCAAGATGTGAGACCTCGGAAATAACTTTGATGAAGTCTGCTCAAACATCTGTTGGAAATGGTGGGGTTGCCTTAATGACATGTTCTTAGAGTCTGGAGGTTCTGGATGAATAAGGAATTTTGCCCACTCAGCTTCAACTCCCCAGTCTTCAGGCTAGACTTGATATTGGTGACCAAATCACTGAATTAGCTTGATTGAGAACCTGGACTTTATCTGGAATGTCAAGTGAAGCAGGCAGGAGGTCGTAATCTATGGGCCAGGCAAGGATAATAGTGGATATATCAATCCACCATTGAACCTTCAGTGCTGGTCAGTTGGAGGTGGGTTTACTAGCGAGGCTTGTCTGTTCTTTGGAAACTGGGCCATGTTTCTTTGGACAGAATGGCCAGCTTTCTTGTTCTATAGTTGTCAAGGCCCAAGAAGTGAGCAGTTCTGGGTGGTCTTCTAAGAAGACCCAGCAGCCAAAATAGATCTTGATTTCAAGGCCCAAGCTGGAGAAACATCTAAAGTCTGATATTTCCTGGGGAAGAGTCCCCACTGAAGTCAAAAAGTTCACTATGGGATTGCTCCCCCACCATGCAAGATTGTTGAGTTTTTCTCACCTTTGTGTGAAAGCAATCACGTTCAGCCAGAACCTGCATAAATGTGCAGGATAAATATGCAGCCCATTACGCCTGTGTCGACCCTGAACTGGTGGAGGGGGTTCTGATCAGTCTTCAGAGGGGGCAGGAAAGTGTCCTAAACTCCATTTGGTGCATGTCCTTTAGTTAATGAAAATTTCCCCAGGACCACACATTATTCTACTTTTCCCCCAAAAAGTCAAATTGGTGTTCTGCACATTGTGTTCTTGTATGCTATGCCCCCTCCCCTAATGGGCTCCTGACTCATTTTGATGCGGCTCACAATTCTTCCCAACCCAACTGCCCTTTTCTTCTTCATCCCATTTTCAGAAGTCTTAAGTGTAGCACACTTTGTTGATTCCACACTTGCATCCTCCCCCCATTTTGTTCATAACAGAGTTATTCGTAGCCTCTTGCCAGCGTAGTCCCAGCTTAGAATGGTGACAAAGAAGGGTGCAAGCATCACTGTGTAGCTGTGTTGGTGCTAAAAGTGCTTTGTGACAGTGCAGCATCACTGTAATAATGAGCTATTAAATATTGTGTTCTCAGTATCCATGTAGATATCTTCTGATGTTCTGTGTTTTGAAATACAATGTTTTGAAAAGCTGTGTGTCTTTATATTTGTCAGATATGTACAAGTGGGGTAAACACGTAGAAAAGTTGCAGAGTAAAAGTGTGTTGATTGTATTGTACTGCTCATGGTAGCTACTTAGCACCTTTATAAGAACTATGAGTGGTACCCATTGTAGTGGTGTTACGTTGTAATGATGCAATGCCTCTGCAATCATACCTTGAACTTTATTTTAAAGTAAACAGCTAGTAATGCAATACTCAGCGTTAGTAGCTCTTGTAAAGGATGTATTGACAATGTTACTAGTAAGATACTGTAGAGTACGTATGTAGTAACATGAGAGTAAATTTGTAGAAATTGAGATAAAGGAGATTTTTTGGCATCTGAAATTGCACCATCCTTTTAGTTATTCTTATTAAATTCCTGACTAATGCAGGAAAGTCTGTCTTGAATGCCATCCTCCAGTAACAGTATTATCCTTTCAGCAGTCCTCTGATATTATGTTGGCCATATTTTTAAAAAGATCTCATAATAGTATTTGTTCTATTATTTGATGTCATCTATCTCTCTGTAGTAAATGTTCTTCTGTTATAGTAACCTCATAGCAACCACATTGTAGCCTTCCTTGTAGTAACTCTGCTTTTGGGGCTTCATTTTAGCACGACAGCCACCATCATTGTAACATCCATAGATCATGTCAATGCCTTGTCCTTATAAACCTCCTGTGTTCTGTGCTTTTAGACAGGGATGTGCAATTTTTTCAGATAAGACCACTCAGTAGCAAGCAATAGTGGAGTAGACCAAAAACAATTTGGTGATGTCTGGATAAAAAATCATTTCACTTCATTTCATTCAAATTTAATAAAAATTGAATTAATGCAGTGCAGTTGATCATTGCACACCATGTATTTTATGATGCTTCCCTTTTGTTAAAAATTGCAATTAAGAGGCCAATTTTGGAAGAGCCACGGCCAGGCCTCTGAGCAGTGCTCGGGGTCTTCAGACTGAGTATTTGTATTCGGAGGTTGTAGCCTCTCTGCTGTCCTGGTGCTGTCTTTATAACTGTTCTGTTGTAACCACATTGTCCTGCTTCGCTCCTTTGCTTTCCCAGATTGCTTTTTTTTAATTTTATTTTTTTAATGCTCTAGGATTTTTCTAATTCAAACTGTGTTCAGACACAGTCATTCTTAATGAGGTAACTTGGAGCAGCAAATTCCCCTCTCTATCCCTCCCCTTGAGCCCAGCTTCCATCTGCAATTTTACCCAGTTTTGAAGGGAAGATAAAACAAGAGATTCTCATGACAGAGGATGACTTGGGTTCATCCATGAAGCTGAGAAGGCAGCTTCCCAAACAGTGGAAAAGGGATTGGTCATTAATGCCAGCTGGGACATATGAATCCCACAGGAGGAAGAGAGAGCCTTCATGTGGATGGGGCGGGCAGACTGCCAGTCATTGCCCTCCCCACACCGTTGGATTCATATCTTCATTAATGATCAAGGCCACAGAACGGATGATGTGACTCAGTTCATGGACCTCCTTCTGCAACTAATTCTATTAACCCTCAAGGACAGGCCCGACTCCTGGGTATCTTAATTCTTGCTTTATTCCTACTCTGTATTTATCTCCACTTCCTTCCACTGCTGTCTTGTTGTGCTGGAATGTATTTGCTTGGGTTGTATTTGTCCCATACCAACCCTCACTCACATTTTGTGTGTCGCACTCTGATCCTGTTCCCTTTAGCCATGGAAAGGGTTTTCCCCAGAATTACATGGCAAATATTATCCTTGGGCATAAAATGTAATGCCAAGAAAGTAGAAAGCACTCATTCATGTCATTGTTGGTTAATCAAAACTTTACAATGATCTCCTGCTCCTCCTCTCTCCTATCCCATCATAACACCTCTTGTCCCTCCATGCTAAATGTTGAGTTGCCATGCCTTAAATTCTGCAAACCTGTTGACATTGAGCCTTTGCTGGAATGTCACAGATGTTGATTTTCTTCAGCAATATTTTGTGCACCTTCCTGCCTTCCTACACCACGGAGCCAAGCAATCCGCTAACCAGAAGCACGGTACCCTGATTCTGCTACCACTAAGTCAACCGCTGCAGCCCTCACTTCAGCTCTGTTCCCTGATACTAGTCCTCTAAACTCCTCTGAATTAATTCTTCCTTTGCTCCGAAAATAATCATTTGTCGGGCACAAAACCTTAGCAAAGCTGGGCTTCGAAGTCCTTAACTTCAGTGCCCATTAGTGGCAGCTGGGTATATATTAAAATACTGAAACCATCACCAGATTGAAGAAGAACCTTTTGAAATACTTCTACCCTTCCAAGAAACTGTTTTGCTCTTCAGCCTTCTCCTCTTACTGTTCAAAGAGCAGCACAGACTTTGAATTGCTAGTCAAGAACCTCCAACCCTTTTCATTTTAGCACTGATTTGGGAAAGTCATTAAGAGCATCTAGAATTCTGCCAGCTTTTATTTAGCGGGATGCTGCTTGCAACAGGCAACCGTGATCCCCAAGACCTATAGCAATAACAATCGCTTCTTATTTCACAGTTTCCAGGGGAATTCAGCCTGAGTGAGTCCTGCAGGGTTGCGTCTTCACCCAGTGTGCAGCAATGTTTTTGTCATGTGGATTGCCTTGCCCAAACTAGCTTGTGCCCAGCATTGGAGAAATCCCAGTTTGCACTAACTGCATAACCCCCCCTGCCCTCCCTCTGTTCCACCCCCATTCCTCCTCTCTGCTCCTCCCTATGTTGCTCCTGCTAATGTTAGCCAGTTCTGTCTTTTTCCTCAACCCCTTCCCTGCTCTAGGAGAGAAGGTGATGGCCGACGACTTGTTTACACAGGACCTCTTTCGGTTCCTGCAACTCCTTTGTGAAGGACACAACAATGGTAAGTTGAACTTGTCAAGCCAAAGAGAAGGAAGGCTTTTGCCCAGCAGCTGGGGCTCCAAAACTGGAGCAGGTTGTCCCAAAAATGTTGGGGCTGATGGAAGGGGGACATGAAATGTTCAGAAAAGGAAAATGGTTGTAATTGTGGTTGTCCATGGGGGCCATACTAGCCAACCAGTAAAATCTAAGAGGGTTGACTTGCTGAAGTTCCCATCACTAAAGCAGGGTCACCTTGTGAGACCTATGGAGATGGGCCTTCTCTGTGCCTGCTCCTGCCCTCTGGGACAGTGTTCCCCTGAGGTCCACACAGCCCCAACTCTATTGAGTTTTCTGCATCCCTGGGTGGGGTGATGCCACTGCCCGATATAATTTTTATATAGTGTATAATTGGTGACGCTGTTTCCCCAACATGAATGTTACTTGTTATGACTTGTTTTTCTTTTCTGCATGTTGTTTTAACTTTAATTATTTGTATTTAGTATTCTGTCAAGCATTGTGGTTACAGTTGAGGCAGCCAATAAGTCAATCAAACACATTAGTAAATAAATATTTTCAAGCAAGGAAGAGCTACACACTTAATCTTAGTCAAAAGGCCAAGAAGTGATGCTCTGTATTTCTTCAGGTTCTAAAACGCTTTTGCAAGCAAGAGCTAGAAAGCTAGTGGTGTTGGCTTTGCCTGCCTCCTGTCATTGGAGACAAAGTGTGAACAAAGTCTCTTGAGCGAGATTTTGGAGAAGGGCCTTTTTCACTCTGCCTCTTTGCCAGTGCAGACAGTGAGAGGCTTTTGTGAAGCTGATCTTTAGGTCCTCAGCTCCTATTGACCCAAGTCTTGAGCTGGGCAGTGAAGCAAGCTAGGATACAATATGATCAGACCTGAATTACAACTTTGGTCTTTCCAGAACCAATAGCCCGGGTGGCAAAGGAGAATAAGAGTTGCACTCCAACACATCTGGGAAGGAGAGTTTAGACAATGACCAGGAGTCCTCCTTGGTCATTGATGAAGGAGAGTTGTGTTAGCCCGAGGTAGCCAAAAATCAGGAGGAGTCTGGTAATACCTTTTCAGACTGACAAATTTTATTCGAAGGCATCAGCTTAATGAAATTTGTTAATCTGAAAAGGTGTTACCAGACTTGTTCTGCGTCTCGGTCATGAAGTTCATCATATGGTCTCATACCAGTCAGTTTTTCTTCTCCTTTCTCTTTTCTTCCTTATTAAACAACTTCCCAGTAGAAGTAGAGGGGTGGTGGACCCAGGAAGGGGGTTGAAGGGTTGAATTCTCACCTCATTGCTTTCCCTTGCAGATTTCCAGAACTATCTGCGGACCCAAACTGGCAACACCAACACAATCAACATCATTATCTGCACCGTTGACTACCTTCTGCGCCTTCAGGTGAGAGCAAACTCCTCCCAGCTGAGGCTGTTCAGGTGCAACAAACATGGGTTCTGCACAGTAATAACCCTGCCACTTCCACAGCAATAGTTGGAAGAACTCTTCTTTGGCTGTTGGACCTCCACAGGTTGGGAAATCAGCATCTGCTCTCTTCCTTCTCTTCCAAATATCCAGGAATCCATCAGCGATTTTTACTGGTATTATTCGGGCAAGGACGTGATTGATGATCAAGGCAAACGCAACTTCTCCAAAGCGATGGCTGTAGCCAAACAGGTCTTCAACAGCCTCACCGAGTACATCCAGGTATGGCTTTGGAGATGGGGAAGCTCCATAAAGAGAGGCCCTTCTCCTCCAGAAAGTGCTGTGCCTTGGCCTTGGGGTTCTTTTAATATTGCCCAGAGGACCAGGCCAGAGGCAGAAAACCACCTAGTTAAGCTTCTCAGCAGTTGGATACACCCGTTTGTGGTTTATGAGGCCAAGCCAGCCAGAAGTGACCATGATCAGAGGGAGGTCTAAGGAAAAAATGTTCAGTGCTAAATGGCTGGTCTGAGGCAGCCTTCCCCAACCCTTTGTCCCCTTTGGGACTGTAAGTCCTACACTGATTTATTTATTCATTTATTTACTCATTTAAAGCATTTATATGGCCACCCAACTCAACCAAAGAAATTCTGGGTGGGTTTACAAAAACTTTCAACAAAACCTAAGGAAAATAATAGAAAACCACAATACATAAACCTACAAACAATAATGAAACAATAAGGTAACAAGCTTATGTATCTAAACATTGCAAGACCACCTCAAAGGCAAACATCTGCAATTTAGGGTCGGTCCAAATGCCACCATGGCCCTTGGCAACCTCATCTTGGTCTTCTACATATGATTAATATGAAATGTTCTACTCTTTGGACTTTTTTTTCCCCTTCCTTATCAGGGGCCTTGCACTGGGAACCAGCAGAGTTTAGCGCACAGCAGATTGTGGGACGCTGTCATCGGTTTCCTCCATGTCTTTGCTCACATGATGATGAAATTGGCTCAGGTAAAAAGAAAATTAAGAGAGAGAATTGTTGTTTTGTCTGCACTCTAGAAGAGAACACAAAGCAGGGCATATCTCAGGAGTCACCCTGCCTAAGGAAGGGGTCCCAAGAAATAAAAGGATTTTCTGTGCAGGTGAAAAGCAAGAGCAGTTTCCCCACTAGCAACCAATGTCTTTTCCCCCAAACTGCAGCTCTGGTCACCAGCTGTCAACTAATCATCCAACACAGTTAAGCAAGAAAACAAACTAAGAAAAAATGGACATTTGCCAGATCATTTAGTATAGCAATCAACTCTTGGGTTTGAGGGCTGGAACCCAGGAATACAGTCATTCTGAGCAGTCCCTGCCCTTCTGCACCCTGAAACTAGTCGCTAAATGTTGCCAGCTGGCTTATCCATAGTGGTGTGCAAAACGTTTTGAATTAAAATGTTTTGAGCTTGAAACAATGGTTCCAACCATACCAGAGTAGTTCTGGGGGCATGCTGACATGCCACCAGGAGTTTATTTATCTTATTTACAGCATTTAAAGGTTGCTCCAATCCACTAAGTGGCATATAACTCCCCAGGATGTAACTGGGATTAAAATCATACAGTCAGTGTAAAAAAATAACTAGTTTTCCTATGGAACCAGGAATCATAAATACAGACATTAAGAATAATAGTAGAAGACCCAATCTCATGACTCAACAGCAAGAGACAAAGTGACTCTGGCTTGATAAAACATCCAGGTTTTCCCCATTGCACATTAGGGGGATGGCACTGAGAAGGCATGCTTACGTGGCCTGTGAAGGTGACGGTGCCTAACCAAGGGGACATGTACCAAGCCTGGCCAACTGGGTCTTACCAGGCAGGCAGGTGTTCAAGAGAGAAGGTAGTCCTGCAGATATCCGGGCCCTGAACAGCCACCAAATGGCAAAGGGTAGATTCAAAGGAGGAATATTGACGTTTCACTGGTCTGTCGCCATGGCATAGGCCCAAATATGAGCTCTTAACCCACTCTTGGTCAGGTTTGCTCCTTTTTTTACACCAGCAGTGCTCTAGACATCTGTTGGCTCACATCCTCAGAAAACAAGGATGCCCCTTGGGTTGGTGAGTTCGGGAACAGTTTCATCCAAGGCCGTTGCTGCCTCCCTATCCCAGCAGGGGGTTAGGTCCCCACTGGAACTGCCCACCATCACCTTGAGAAGTTCCCCAAGCAGCCTCTGGAAGCCAAGCAGTTTTGTTATGCACCTGGTTCTGATTCAGTGATGTCCAAGTATAAAACATGCATGCCTATTGACGGTGCTCTGAGCTTAAAACGGGATTGTTTTGAGCTTGGAACCCTTCTGGTAATGTGGACCCAACCCATTCAAGCCTCAAGACATTTTGAATTCAGATTGTTTGCTGCACCCCAACCAGACTATGCAGGCTGAGCAGTAACAGCAAGAAAACGTCGCTTTTTAGTCGTTTCCTTGGTAGGTAAGGCTGTGTCTTGCCTCTGTGGTAAAGCCCCTAAAACTTCTAGCTAGCTGCTGGTTGAATATAAAAGGGTATATTGTTAATGATCTCTGCAAGTCAAGAATCTATCTTGGAGTCTAATGAACTGGAGGAAGGAAGGGACTTGTTCACGAACATGGGCGAAGTTGGGGAACATGGATGTTGGGTGATCACCCTGCTCATCTCTACACTAACCTCAGGCTCCTTGACTCTGTGCCCCCTTTTCCCCTGCCCCCTCCTGGGCTTGGCAAGGCCAACAGGATGTTGTACAAGCCCTGGTCCTTCTCTCTGCTCTGGACCCCAAAGGAGCAGCTGTTCACAGCTCTGACATTCTAAGATAGGCAGCCAGGAAGGCTTCTGTGTGATCTGCCGTTACAAACTACGAAAAGAAAATCTTGCTCAGAAGAGATTTGAAATCCTCCTTCCCTCTTAACATTCCTGTCCTGATTTGGACCCTGTAGAAGGGAGCTGCAGTCAGATGGCTGGGGATTGTGGATGTTGGTCTGGAGAGGACCAGGTCAAGGAAGGTGGCGGGGGTCCAGAAAGGGAGTGGCTCCAACTGCCATCTTTCCTCCCTGACTCTTCAGGGCAGTGTTTTTCAACCTTGGGAACTTTAAGATGGGTGGACTTCAACTCCCAGAATTCCCTAGCCAGCATGGCTGGCTAGGGAATTCTGGGAGTTGAAGTCCACCCATCTTAAAGTTTCCAAGGTTGAAAAACAGTGCTTCAGGGGCCTCCACACGACAGCCAGTTACCTGGTTTTCCTGCAAAAGGTGGAACAGCTAAGCCCACCCCCTCAAAAGAAAGAAACATGCTGGATTGCAGACCAAGCAAAATGCAAAACTGCTCTTCGAAATGCTTCTGAATAATATTTTCTTTCCAATATGTGACAGACGAGCCAACCCCCAGGGCTTCGAAATGGCGTAAGAACCTTTTCTGTAGTCTGTGGCCCTCCATCCCACCCCTCTGGCTTCTCCTCCCTGTCTCCTTTCGCAGTCCCCACGCTTCCCTTCCCACCTCCTTTGCTCTCCCTTTCCTTTCACCAGGCCGATTTAATACTTTCTCACCCCGAGGAAAAAGACCATTCTGCCCAGCGGCCTCATGTAGATGTTAAATAGGAGAGGAGAGTGTACCGAACCCTGCAGCACCCCACATAGTAGGGGCCGAGGGTGGATCTCTCCTCCCCAGCTACTACCAACTGGAATTGGCCCCGGGGGAAGGAGGTGAACCAGCACAACACCATGCTGCCCACCCCCAATCCTCTGACCCAGTCCAGAAGGATACCATGGTCAATGGTATCAAAAACCGCAGCGAGGTCAAAGCAAGTAGAGCAAGAATGGATACACGATCCTCATCCTGCCCTCGCCAAAGATCATCCAAAAGCGTGACCAATGCTGTTTCAGTCCCATACCCAGGCCTGAATCCAGATTGAAAGGGATCCAGATAATCCGCTTTATCGAAGGCCCTCTGAAGCTGTTGCGCAACCACCTTCTCAATCACCTTCCCCAAAAAGGGGAGGTTGGATACTGGATGAAAATTGTCCAGTATAGTGGGGCCCAGCGATGGCTTCTTGAGGAGACGGTGAACCAAAGCTTCCTTAAGAGGCTTTACTTAATCTTAACTGCCAGATGCCTTCTACTCCATTGATTTCATGTGGAGGAATAGCGTGTTTGATCTGGTCTCTTTTCCTGTTCACTCTGCAGTGGCTGCTGCTTGCTCCTCATCCAGCCCTCCCTTCGTGCTGTGTCCTTTCTGCTTTTCTGTCTCCTGCTCCAACTATCAGGAGATGGTTGAAGGCTCCATGCTTGACCATTGCTTGAGCTTGCTGGCTCACGCCCCATCCAAGCTCATTTTGTTATCCTGCAGGCACTGGCGGGTGAGCGGGAGGGACACAGGGGGAGGTGTTGGATGGCAGGAAAGAGAAGAAGACAACCAGCAGCATGGTGGATGGACTCAATTACAGTGGGAATGGGTGCACTGTTGGGGAACCTGAAGGGCCAGTTAGGGACAGATCATCCTGGGAAAGGTCTCTATAAGTGATCGCCAAGTGTCAGCACCGACTTGATGGCGCATAATTAATTGGATTGAACAGGTGCACGCCTTCCTTGGCTTATGGCAGGGGAGCACTGCAGTTGTCAAAGCCTCTTTTATATCCCGCTCTTTTTAAACTGAAGCCAACGGGTACTGCTCCTTTTGCAGAAGGATGAGACAGAGCACTTCTGCATTATAGACCTAAGTTGGTTTAGCAGTCCTTTGCTCTCTCAAGAACTCCCAGGAAACTCTAGTTCTTTCAGGGAGACCTCACAGTACTTTTGGCGTCCTCACCAAATGATGTTTCCCAAAATTCTTGAGTGGGAACCAAGAGCGGCTTAAGCCTACATTATATTAGCTGATGCAGAACAGGATGGAGAAGGTGGTCTGGAATGACCCTTCCCAGCCTTCTCAGCACACAGTGGAATAGCCATGGGGGCAGCTTTAGAAAGGGGAAACCCTCTAGAGTTATCTCTTTTCCTCACCCAAACTATCTCTTTGTTGCGCTGCCCATGAGGAGCATTTTCGGAGTGAATCCTACCCTGAGGTAAGGAAGCCAGCACCTGTTCAGAAGAAATCCACTCTATATATGTATTCGGGATTAGTTCCTCATTGAGATAGCTCTCCTTCAAAGAGGATGGGAGGCTTCAGAAAAGAGACTCGGGTCCTCTGAGCATGTTAATAGGGTATTTTCTCTAAACAGCACAAGGAGACCATAGCTGGTCAAGTTGGATATACCCAGATTGACTTCAGATCCCAAACTTCTCTCTAGACCAGTGTTTGTCAACCTTGACAACTTTAAAATGGGCGGACTTCAACTCCCAGAATTCCCCAGCCAGCATTCCACTGCTCTAGACTTAGTTTCCACATGCTGTGGGACCCCAGAGGGTTTTAGAAGATGAGTCACTACCCCTATCTATTGGTTTCTATAGATTCATGCAACCCTTCCTCCTTATACCTATCTGTGGTTATGTTTTTATTGTCTGGCAGGAACCCAACTGGTGTGGGTGATGCGTAGAATATTGATGGGCAAAGACTTATAAGTGAAGAAGGGCAGGTGTGCTGGGGAGGGGGGGAATTCAAAGAGTCCTCAGGGCAGGGTAGAAAAATACGTCCTGTTTCATAGCACTCAGTATCTTAAGCTTGCCTCTTCTTCCAGGATTCTAGCCAAATTGGACTTCTGAAGGAGCTGTTGGACCTTCAAAAGGACATGGTGGTGATGTTGCTGTCTCTGCTGGAAGGTGATAACCTGGCATCACTTTGGATGAATCTCTGGGCTCCATGTTGGCTTCCAAGGGCAGAACCACCTGCCTTTGCAGGATCTTAGGCTCAGTCTGTAGCGTCTCCAGCAAGACCGTGGCTGGGTCTCTCCCTAAGAATGTGAAAGCTAATGCTAGATACCATGGATAATTTTAGGCAAAATGCATCAAGTTTCCTTCTCCGTCTAAGGCCCTGTTGCCTCTTTTCCACCCCAGGAAAGGCTAGGAAAACAGGGTATATTCCATGCCTGTTGACTCTCTGTGGAATTCTTTTCCAAAGGAGATGACATTGGCTCCATCTTTGCCTTGTCTTAGGCAGGTGGCAAAAGGTCCACTCTTTCAGCTGCTTTTGTTGCTTAGGGGACTTCTGTTTTTTAATTTGTGGTTTTGTATGTGTTGCTTTAAGTTGTGTGTCTCCTTGGAGGCCCTAATGGGCAGAAAGACTATTTGTGAGTGCTTTTACTGCATAACTAGTGAATAAATTCGATGAAGTCCAGAGCAAACAGTCAGTTAACTCCCAGATGCTTTGGTTATAACTCACGTAACCACTGACCATTGGCCATGTTGCTGGGGCTAATTGGAACTGTAGCTCAAAATGGGTTCTTAAGTGCCCTAACCAGCAGATCCCCTGGGCCCCAGGCAGAGAGAGAGAGAGAGAGATTTTCAGACGTTACTTCTAGAGATCCTTGAAGGAACCAGCTTATAGTATATGAGCTCTTTCTGCGCCCGTTCCCCGTTCTGAATGCAAGTGCACATACACTGCCATTTGTCAGACTATCTTTCTGTCTTATGCGTTCAGTTTTATCCCTAGACTGAACCTGTAAATGGGGTCACTCTTGGTCCTATTTTTCCAGGTTAGAGAACTTGAAGCAATGAATAGAAAAGAATTATTACTAAGGCAGAGCAGAAGTGTGAACTTGGAGCCATGGGTCTCTGCAAGGGGGGAAGGGGGAGCAAGTGACATCACATGTTATAACATCATAGAGTAAATGACACAATTATGACATTGTGTAATTATGTCATCTGCCAAAGATACAAAGACGCATGTGACTTACATACCCTATCTCTTGACAGAGGAACACAATACCCTGCCAGCATAACTTGCTTGTCTTTCTTCTGCATTCAGTCCTTTTGTAAATTTATCATTTGTATCCTTGGTGTATCTACTCAGGAAATGTGGTAAATGGCACCATTGCTCGGCAGATGGTGGACATGTTGGTGGAGTCCTCCAGCAACGTGGAGATGATCCTCAAATTCTTTGATATGTTCTTGAAGCTGAAGGACATTGTGGCATCAGATGCCTTCCGGGATTACATCACAGATCCACGGGGCCTCATCTCCAAGAAGGACTTCCAGAAGGCCATGGACAGTCAGAAGCAGTACACACCATCTGAGATCCAGTTCCTTCTGTCCTGCTCAGAGGCTGATGAGAATGAGATGATAGACTATGAAGAGTTTGCCAGCCGTTTCCAGGAGCCTGCCAAAGATATTGGCTTCAATATTGCTGTGCTGCTGACAAACCTCTCAGAGCACATGCCTCATGACATCCGACTCAAGACCTTCCTGGAACTGGCAGAATGCATCCTCAATTACTTTAATCCCTATCTGGGCCGCATTGAGATTATGGGTGCCAGCAAACGCATTGAGCGCATCTACTTTGAGATCAGTGAGACCAATAAGACCCAGTGGGAAATGCCCCAGGTCAAGGAATCCAAGAGACAGTTCATCTTTGATGTGGTCAATGAAGGGGGTGAGTCAGAGAAGATGGAGCTCTTCATCAACTTCTGTGAGGACACAATCTTTGAGATGCAGATTGCAGCACAGATTTCAGAGGAGGAAGGACAGGAAGAGGAAGAGGAGGAAGAAGAAGCAGAAGGGATAGAAAGTGGGGAAGCTGAGAAGGTGTCAGCACCTTCAGAGGCATCTTCAGTCTTTGGTGAGTTCCTGGAGAGTGTCCTGAATTTCTTCCGCATGTTCACGTATCGCAATATCCGCCGACAGTTCCGCAAAGTCAAGAAGATGACAGTCAAAGAGATGGCAGTGGGAGTGGCCACCTTCCTTTACACCATCTTGATGGGCATCCTTTTCTTCTTCTACAATGTCCTCAAGGGCTTCTTCCTCCTCATCTGGAACACACTGTTTGGTGGAGGCTTGGTGGAGGAGGCCAAGAAGCTTACAGTGACAGAACTGTTGGCCAGCATGCCTGATCCAACCCAGGATGAAGTTCATGGAGATGTTGCTCCCTCTGAGGAGGTTGAGCAGGTGATGGAAGAAGGGGAAGAAATAAAGATTGTGGAGCCTGGCAAGGAAGACGCATCTATTGACAGTGGAGAAGTTTTTGGAGTGGATCCAAAGAAAGAGCATTTCCGTTCAATGGCCCCTGATGCACCTGGTGGGCTTGGAGATATGGGGGACACAACCCCAGTGGAACCTCCCACACCTGAAGGGTCACCCATCCTCAAGAGGAAAATGGGGGTATGATTGGGACTCGAGGTGGTGGGATTTCTGGGAAGATCCAATGTGGACAAAGTGGAAAAGGAAAGGAAGGGAGAAACCATGTTTAGAGAATGTGGGCCTGAGAGGGACCCATAGTCTGGACCGAAGCCCCAGTTTTTAAGGGAAACAGAGCCTGGTGGGATAAAAGGTGAAGGGGGGCTGGATCTGTGCCCTGCTCTAGAAATAATGGGAAGCCACTCAAACCCTCATATGACAAAAGTAAAGATGGAGTTTGCCCTTTCAGACTGCATGGAGGTTGGGGAGATACCTATCTTAGTTCTTCAAGCTACAGGATGCCATTCCTGAATATGCCCCTGTTGAAATCTTGCAGTATTTTCCTTTCTGGGTCACGTCCCTCCCTTTTGTTTCCTCTCCTGGATCCAGTTCATTGATGGATAGTCTTATGATTCTCCAGGTGGAAGGAGAAGAAGAGGAGGAGCCACACCCGGAACTGGAGAAGATTGAGGAACCCCCTGCAGAGCCAGAAAAAGCTGAGTTGAGTGGCTTGGATGTCTATCTGTGGTTGCAGAGTTCCTGGGTGTTTATCAGAACTCCATCAAAAAAATCACATGGCAGAGGTTTTCATTGCCTAAGAGCATCACAATTTGACTATTTTTAAAACAAGAACGTTCTAGTCTTTATGGTTTCAAAGAGCTGTTTAGAAGTTTGTGGGGCATCTCAGCTGAAACAGTGGCTAAATTAGATTTGCAGTTGCTTCTGGGAAGAGGGATATTTGAACAACCTTCTTAACAGAATCCAGAATGAATTATACAATGTAAGAAGTGGAAATAGGCAGAGTTGCATCAGATGCTTCACGCCCTGGACTTTATCCTTCTTCAGAAATTTACTTAAGGTTCCTTTTAAAGACATGATATAATTGTGGAGAAAATAGATTGGAAGCAACATCATGGTAAGATGTCCAGTTTCTTAAGAAATATCTCCTCCACTGATGGCAGGTGAGAACAGGGTTGGCTTGGAACTGGAACAGCTGCCCAGCTCGTTCCATTTATTTATGTATGTATGTATGTATGTATGTATGTATTATATATCACCCTTTACTAGGATTGATTCTGGGTGATCAGCACAATTAAAATACCAAAACCAATGGCAGAATAAAGCTAGCTGACTAAAACAGAGCAGTCAAGAAAATGTTAGTATCTGAAACCCAAGTACTTGAGAGAATAGAAAGAGGTTGATCTGAAAGAATGCAATGCCGTGAGTATTCTTTTGGTTGGGCACGGTGGCTGGAAAGGGTGGTGCTAATCTGCAACATGGTTTCTGTGCCCTCCCCACCACTTCTAGTGCTGAAAATGGGGAGAAGGCTGCAAAGGAAGAAGAGGAGAAGAAAGAGGAGGAGAAAGAACCCAAGGAGGAAGAGCTACCACCACCAGCCAAGGAGAAGAAAAAGGTGGCTCAGCGGCCAGAGAAGAAAGAGCCTGAGCAGGGATGCTCAGAATTTTGGAATGAGTTGGAGATCCAAAGGGTCAAATTTCTGGTAAAGTCTCTCTGGGGTTGATGTGTGTGTGTGCTGTAGAAGAGAAGGAAACTTAAGATGTCCTCGTGAATTTGATCAGGAGCATCTCAATGAGCATCTTCCTGAGGCACTTGGGTACCATAGTATTTGGGGGATCAGCACCTCTCTAATCTACCATTCCTGATTCTTGGAGAGAAGCCATATTGATGGAATTGGGGCCAAACCAAACCAGGATGTCATAAGATAGTAGCTCTGTCTGATCTAATAATCACTATGAGGGCTCTCTGCCAGTGTTTCTGAGTTGTCCCATTTAATATTGAGACCTAGAATATGGGGTGTAATTAAAAATATGCTATTTCTTTTTGAAGAGATATCACAGTGATGTGATGCAGGGGAGGAATAAGATTAATTGCTCTTAAAGTATGATATACTATAAAACAACAACATAAAAGCAAACAAAAGAAAAAAAAACCAGCAAAGGAGTTAAGATGAGCTTAAACAGGTAAAGCAACTTTATGTTGGACTTGGAAACAGTTTGATTGTAAAACTTTGGGGCTTCATGTTTCTAAAGCAAAACCACCATCACATTACACTTAACCTTATCTTCCCATCCTTTCAGAATTACCTGTCCAGGAATTTCTACAACCTACGCTTCCTTGCCCTCTTCCTGGCCTTTGCCATCAACTTCATCTTGCTTTTCTATAAGGTAAAATATTTGCTGCTTAATGGGAGTTGGCTCTTGGAAGTAGAGAAGCAGGAACACCATTATCAGGGCTTTCAGGTTTTGGATGTAGTTTGGGAAGTGAGTGAGATGGTCCAGAGAAAACAGGAATTTAGTCATTTCTAGCGAAGCATTCTGGGATCCAGAGGAACTGGGCAGTGGAGTCTGTGAAGAGGATGGGGCAGGGAAGAGAGTAGGAATCACCATGGGAGAACAATAGTCATAATGCTCAGAGCAAAGGACCAAAGATGGGGAAAATCCAGGATTGTAGGACTGGGCACTGACTTTTCCTCATTTAGATCCTCATCTTGGTCTCTTTCATCTGAGTTTCTTCGCCTATTATGATTTCAACTTCCTAGGTGTCTGACACACCACCTGGTGAGGAAGAGTTTGAGGGCTCTGGTCTTGAAGGGGATCTGGACACAGGATCTGGGGCAAGCTCCAGCTTTGGTGCAGAAGACAATGGTGGCAACGGGGACGGCAATGGCAACGGGGATGAGGATGATGAAGACAGTGTGGTCTATTACTTCCTAGAGGAGAGCACAGGCTACATGCAGCCAGCCTTACAGTTCCTGTCCATCATCCACACATTGGTAGCTTTCCTCTGTATCATTGGCTACAACTGTCTCAAGGTGCCTCTCGTCATTTTCAAGCGTGAGAAGGAGTTGGCCCGCAAGTTGGAGTTTAGTGGGCTCTATATCACGGAGCAACCAGAGGATGACGACATCAAAGGCCAGTGGGATCGTCTGGTGCTCAACGCCCCGTGAGTACAAGGAGGGGAATGGGTATGGAGGGGCTCATAATTGTCCCCCCACAACCCATGGCAGCACCATTCAATTCTGAGCATATTGTAATTAAATTAAAATTGCAAATGGAGGAAGAGTTACTTATTGGCCTACCTGAACTGTTCTTAGCTGAGTATGGCTGGATGTTGTGCTGTTTCTGTGCCTGGGCTGTTGAGCAGCTCAAAGGTGTTCCTCTAGCTTGAGTCAAAAATGGAAGGGTGGAGAATTTGATGGACAGAACAGGTGGACCATCTGCAATATGGTGGCATGGAGATGGTGACTGGAGAAACAAGTCAGGAGTTGTCAGTTGAGAAGGAGGATGGGAAATCAGAGAAGCAAATGGCAGAGAACATTATATATAGGATAAGATCAGCTGGGTCAGATGATTGTCCTCTATGATCCAGCATTCTGCTCCCAGCGGGGCCAACCATGTTTCTCTGGGAACATGGGAAAGGTTCCATCTGCTTTGGCAGCTAGCATGGAAAAGCACATGTAGCTATTGAGAGCCTTCTCCTCAGTAGCTCAATAGAACAGATGTTATTATAATGAGGACCCTACTAACACTATCCATGTTGATGGCCATTGGTGCATCTTGTAGCAGCAAACAAACAGGTCTACACCAGCTTCCTACATTGTTAATGTTCCTGCTCCAAAACATTGCCAAGCCTTTGTGTTGGCATGATTCAACCTTTTACTCTTTGTAATGTTACTTGATAACTGTCATGACATATTTCACCATCTTACCGCCCTGGTGGGTTCAGCCGCAGCAAAAAACCTACATGAATGTTCATTGTATGGGGATTGGGGGACCCTGCTCATCTGTTCTTCAGAGAACTACAGGCAAGGAATCTGATGACTCTGTGGTTTATCTCTGAGTTCATCATCGTCTTAATATCAGCCAATGTTTAGCTAGAGTTTTATCAAATGGTTTTGTGTAGTAGCTGTGCATTATTTTAGTTGTAAATTGGCTGTTCACCATAATAAAAGTATTCTTATTAGCAGTAGCCGATGCCAGCATCTGTATGAGTTAAAACTCAGCTGAGTGGAAATCAAAGGGGTTTTGAGGGGAAAATGAATTTGCAAGAGGAGGAAGAGGATAGAATGGACATTGCAGAGGGATTAAAAGGGACCCCTAGCAGAACAGAAGGCCTGGATGGATGTGGGAGAAGGTGATTATACTTCTGATGGCTTTTTAAAAATTCTTCCTGTTTTTTCTGTCTCTGCTAGGTCATTCCCAAGCAATTACTGGGACAAGTTCATCAAAAGAAAGGTGAGACGGTCTGCAGGTCCTGGGGTGAGGAAACAAGGGTCTGTGGCCTTCCCAAGGAGGTGGGATGCCCAGGGAGAATCTGATTGGTGCCGAGAGACTAAAAGAATCTAGCTGTATTTCTGCAACTTTAAAATATAATTATGCATAAGTGTTGCTTTTCTACTTCTCCAGGTCCTAGACAAATATGGTGACATCTATGGGCGAGAAAGGATTGCAGAACTTTTGGGGATGGACTTGGCCAGCCTGGAAATCACAGCCCAAAATGAAAAGAAACCGGAGCCAGACAAATCGTTCTTTACTTGGTGAGAGAGAAGGACAAAACAGGAGGGCAGAGGTAGACATGGGGTAGCAGATAATGCTCAGGTTGGCGTTGTCATCGCAACAGGTCGTCAGACAAAGGGAGTATTTTAAGTTGTAATTCGGGGTATTAATATTTCATCAGTATCTGCAAAGCCTTTTCACACATTACACAATACTAGAAGTGGGTCCCCTGCCAAAGGGACTCTCAGGACCATTTGTTAAGGACTTTACTAAAGGACTTCATTAAGACTTTCTTTTTAAAAGGTGCTGATTCAGAGATTACATTTTTGTGTTACTCTAGAGCAGTGTTTCACAACCTTGAGAACTTTTGTGTGGATTTCAACTCCCAGAATTCCCCAGCAAGCCATGCTGACTGAGGAATTCTGGGAGTTGAAGTCCACACTTCTTAAAGTTCCCACGGTTAAGTAACACTGCGCTAGAAGGTAGAAAATGACTGGCTGCAAATGTGAGTCATGAATTCCATTTAAGTTAACCACTTACTGTACCGTGGAAATGTAATCTCTGAATTAGCTCATTTTTTAAAAAAAGAAAGTCTTACTAGTCCTGAACAGTTCAAGTCGATGTAGTAAAAATTATCATTATTTGCACAAAGCAGGACACACGTGGTGACATATGGGTTCTCCTCCCACATTAAATGGCAAAACCTGGAATCTGCCTCTAAAAATACATTTGAAAAGAGACACAGCCATACACGATGGCTGTTTGTGTCACACACCTGTCTGACAAATGTTTGTCCTGTTTGCTGTTTACATCTAAACCGTGTTTAGCTGGCACTTACCAAAATGTGATGTGTGAATCTGCACACAAATATCCACATTGCTTTCTTTTTCCTGCTTTCTCTCTCTCAGGGTTAGTTCCATTGACATTAAGTACAAGATCTGGAAATTTGGAGTCATCTTCACTGATAATGTAAGTGAGAAGGGCAGAGAAATTCACTACTAAAATAAATTGTACTGAATCTCCTTTCATCCGGGAGAAATTCTGTCTCTGTGGTTCCTAAGAGTCAACACCAACTCAATGGTACATCAGCAGCAACATTAACACTTCTCAGTGCCAATTTCTGGAAACTCATCAAACTCATCAAAGTCCTGGACAGTTAGAACCTCACTCATCGCTCCAGTGCCTTTTGGGAGAGGAGATGATGGGTCTAAAACAAGGGATGCAAATTCTCTGTTTAAGCCTGTGGTTCAACTCCTACATCCTTAGTGTTTTCTGAACAAAGTCAGAATTTGCCCTCTAGCATAGCATTTAGACTTCTAAGAATCGTAGGCTTATTTGTTTTTGTAAATTGCAGCCTAGGCTTCAGGGTTGCAATGAAAATGACAGAGACTTTGTGTGGCTCACCTGCTGCCTGTTCCTCTATTTAAAAAGAAAGTAACTCAAATGTCCATATTATCTAAAACCTTAAATAAATGGAGCAGACTAAGTTACACCAAACAAATGAATTGTAATTGATTTAGAAGTTCTGTTGCTGAGTTCAGCAAGGGCATCCACTGGTTCAGATTGATGGTGACTCTAACATAAATGTAATCCAGAAGCCTCTTTTCCTTTGGAATTGGCAACTGAGAAGGAATGTAAATGTTAATCTTTGGGAGCCAGACAAATTTGAGGGTGGGGGGCAGCTATCGATACTTGCAGTGTGGCCATTTTTACGTGCCTGTGATCTGGTTTGTTCGTAGCTTAATGCTAGAGGATATTAGCAATACCTTCCTCTTCCTACTATCAAGGTCCTGAAGGACACATTCACTTGCTCTCCATACAGCCTCCCATACAGCTGTTCTTCTTTCTTTCCCTCCCACTGCAGTCCTTCCTGTATCTCTTCTGGTACATGGTGATGTCCGTCCTTGGCCATTACAACAACTTCTTCTTTGCTTCCCATCTTCTGGACATTGCCATGGGTGTCAAGACACTGCGGACCATCCTGTCCTCTGTCACCCACAATGGCAAACAGGTCAGTTGGGCTGGGGAAGAATCTTGTCCTCTGCTCCATAGTGGCAGGACTGAACCAGAGAAAGCTGTTACTTCCTGCCATTCAACTGACCATCTCCTGCACACGTGCCCTGTTTCCCCAGCTGATGATGACTGTGGGACTGCTGGCAGTGGTGGTCTACCTTTACACTGTGGTCGCCTTCAATTTCTTCCGCAAGTTCTACAACAAGAGCGAGGACGAGGACGAACCTGATATGAAATGTGATGATATGATGACGGTGAGACCGAACTGGGAGACTTCCTAGATTGGCATTCTCCCAGGCATCTGGAGGCACCAGGATGGGGAAGGCTGAGTTCTGACCTGTGTCCTGAGTGTGCCTCCTTTCTACTCTCTTCCTAACACAGTGTTACCTGTTCCACATGTATGTTGGAGTGCGAGCTGGTGGCGGCATTGGTGATGAGATTGAAGATCCGGCAGGGGACGAATATGAGCTTTACCGTGTGATCTTTGATATCACCTTCTTTTTCTTTGTCATTGTCATCTTACTGGCTATCATCCAAGGTGAGATGTGTAGGGCTTTATCCCTTCACAAGTCTCTGCTGTATCAGTATGTCTTTTGTCCACTTCCTTAATTCTAACCAGGATTCTTGGGAACAGAACTGTTTCCTGATGCCAGCAGTGAGCTGTTGGAATGTGTTATATCTTTGAAACAAGGGTGTCTTTAAGCATCTTCACAATGTCTTTTCCACTGACTAAACATGACTAATCATTGTGCCTTTCGCAAAGGGTAGCAGTTTTCAGAAAATGTTCCTTGGCAGTATTCCCAGCTCATGGAGAAGGGTAGCTTCTGCACTGGGGCTCCAACTTGCTTTGCTTAATCTCAGTTTTCTCTTCTCTTTGATTTCTTGACTTCCGTTTCCATTTCCCCAGGTTTGATCATTGATGCTTTTGGGGAGCTGAGAGACCAGCAGGAGCAAGTGAAGGAGGACATGGAGGTATGCTGAGTCGCCTCTCTGTTGCTTTTCTTCCAGCCTTTGTTCCCAGAGAGGCATTGTCCACCTCTTTGTATGGAGCATGCAATACTGACATCTTTAATTGGTAGAATAATGAAATCGCCAATGGATTCATCAGCAGAAAATATCAGTCAGTCCATGAGCAGAAAATGCTGTAGCTAGCAAGTTTGCTAGAATATAAATTTAAGGAGTGCCCAGAGGTGTCTGCAGGATATGGTCAAACAAGTCAGGATGGTGGGCGGTGTGCTGTATTCAAAGTTCTGCGACGCCCATTAAAAATGGACAGAACTTTGACTGCAGCTGTGGCCACCATCTTGACTTTTTTGTGTGGACACCCCTGAGCACCATTTGTTCAGTATCTTATTTTGCTCCTTACCAAGCAACGGGGCAGAATCCTGCCTATCTCCTTTTTCCTTCGTAAGTAAAAAGGGTGTATGGGACTCCTGTGAGCCTCCAGCCCCACAAAACCCTCTCCCAGTGTTGATCTCTCTGTGCAGTGGTGGCAGCCAGTTTGGGTACTGGAAAGAGGAGAAAAGTGGGAAAAGCAGCTTGGGACTGCAGAGAGGAACATGGAAGCAACTTCTGCTTGTTCTTTCTCCACTGTCCTTGTTGTCCCCGACAGACCAAATGTTTCATCTGTGGACTTGGCAGTGATTATTTTGACACGACACCCCACGGCTTTGAGACCCACACGCTGGAGGAGCATAACCTGGCAAATTACATGTAAGCGAGGGATGTGGGGTGGGGGGGAGAAGGCAATGGCCAGGATCTTCCTGGTCTTCATTCTATAGCTCTGAAGATTTCAGGAATGAGGAAACTATTCATGCATAGACACTGAGAGGCAGGTCCTTACTAAACCATGTGGGAAGGTGGTCTAGCACCAAGATGTCCACTTGGCCGATGTCAGCCCTTTGAGGTGGTCCAGACCAGGAAACCAAAGTTATTAATGCAAATACTACTTTTATTATAAGGTTACAGTAACAAAATCTCGCAAGTCTGAATGCGCCTTTCCCCTCCTGCCTTTACGTTCAAGAGAACTAGGGATGGTCAGGTCTGAAACACTTTGGACTCTGATTTCTCTCATCTGACCATTGTCTTGGTCGCGGCTTTTCTTCCTGTTCCTCACACGTCATTCTCACAGCCCATTTCAGCCCATTAGGAGAGCCACAAGTCGAATTGCAGGAAGGGTGCTAAGAGGGGGGACTTCCTCTCCCCCACCCCTCTTAATTTCTCTGCTTCCTAAAAGGTGACGTTGCCTATCCCCTTGCTGGAGTTCCTCTGGATACAGCCCACGTTTCTCTGAATCTGCAGATACGCCGCAGATGCTTGGCATGATTCCTTTCTTTACCTTGCAAAGGTTTCCACGTCATACCTTTCCAACTTTCTCCCCCTTGTAGGTTCTTCCTGATGTATCTCATCAACAAGGATGAAACGGAGCACACTGGCCAGGTGAGAGGGCATCCTGTTGGTGCCCAAGGAAGGGAGGGGAGGGAAGTTAAAACTTAATATTGTTTTGACTGATTTTTCTCCTTGTTAAATTATTTGCTTTAATAACATGTTTCTTTTTTCATTTTTTTTCTTTTTCCTTTTCTTTCCTTCCACATGGTTTGAGGAACAATGACAGATAATAGTATACTAATGCCAAAATGAATGTTTAGAGCTTTATAGACCTTTTCAGTTATTTCTTAAGATGATACCACGAACCTAGTTCTATACATTGCATTCAATCATTCCTTCATTCATTAAATAATTAATTTTAAATGTTAGGATAATTACAAATCCTTTGCTTATCTACTGCTATCTTCTTCTGCATCCACTATGTCTTTTTCCACTTTTTTTTCCTTTTACGTAGCTCTTTCTTCTGTAAATGTTTTTTTAAAAATTAAATTATTAATTAATTTTTTTAAAAAGTGAGGACGCCCTCCTTTACCAGCAGATTCCTGTGTTTTCCCCTTTGCAGGAGTCCTACGTCTGGAAAATGTACCAAGAGCGCTGCTGGGATTTCTTCCCTGCTGGCGACTGTTTCCGCAAGCAATATGAAGACCAGCTCAGCTAGAGGCTTCCCTGGGCTAAACAGGAGGCAAGGCAGCTGCCCTGAGTCCGCCCCCCTTGCCCCCTTCTTTCAGCCCTAAAGAAGGGGGGGCAGCAGCAAAGCAGAGTGGGACACCCTGGCTGAGTCTCCCTTTTTAAGCTTTGGGAGAGCTGCCTCATTCCCCCCCCTCCCCGGCATCATCAGCCTCACCATGGGGCCTCTTGCTGTCAAGCCCCCTCTCCTTGGTTGAAGAAGTGGGTATTCTGCCCCCTGGAGAAATGCTCGGAGGGTCCCGGGCTGCTTGAACTAAGCGAGCCTCCCACTTGGCCAGTAACTCTTCCCAGCTCTTTCTGGTTCCCTGGGGGGGGTCCATGCAATAGCTTCCTTCCCAGGTTAAAGCCCCCCCACCAGTTTCAAGTGCCTTTTATTGGCCCGTACCCCGGGAGAGGGGAGGGTCTACAAACGGGGAAAGAGTAAAATACTCTTTCAGACCAACCAGAAGATTGGAGCGAATTTGCTCCTGATTTCTGTCACCCAGCATAGTGGGGTGGCAGAGGAAGGCAAAGAGATGCTGGTCTTCTAGTCCAGGTCCCCAAGAAGGAGAATGCAGCCCCCTCCCTCCCCACTCCCCCCCGACTTCAATGACTCTTGCAATTAGTCCTCCCCTTAAGCTCCACCTCATTTGTGAAGCTTATAATTTGTTTGGTGGGGGCCTTCTCTTGCACCAGTGGCTCCATCTGGAATTGAGAAGGCACCAGAAACCCCACCCAATTTACCCAGATCTGTGTGTGCATTGGGGCTGGGGGGAGCAAGGGGCCCCAGCTCAGGAGGCTGCATTGCCCTTCGGGGATCCGCAGCCCCTTAAGCTGCTGCACAAAATTGCCCTTTGCTGCCCCTGATTGAACTACCGGCACCCTGAACCTTTGAAGCCAGGTCTGTTGTGGAGATGCAGACCCCTCTGTTGTTCTCCCGTCCCTCGAGTCCAGCTTGGTTCTCTGCCAATAAAACCATAGACTGCTGCAACCACTGAGTCGGCATTATCCTTCGCAGAGCCAATGAACGAGACGCTATTGCTCTTCCCCACTGCAGTTCATTCTGGATTTTCAATAGTCTGCTTTTGGATCGCCGTACATTTTATTGGTATCGGTCTGCTGCAGGTAGGAAGCTAGTAACAAACACCAGCTTGGGTTATCACATTACACTAAGCCATCGTGGCTTGGGCGAATATAGCCACCCTGGTTTTGTAAGCCGTGAGCAGGTGAATCTTGGCTGAGAAGAGATCTGAACAGTTCTGTTCCATAAGCTTCAGACCAGCCTGGGGCTGCCCTCTTCCAGCCCCCCTACTCAGGCAGTGTTGGAGTCCTCCCTGTATCCGACGCTTTGGTTGCACAAGAACCGATCCAACAGCAGGAGCTCCAGCCAGACACAGCTTAGCCACATCACTGGACACTGCTCTTTGGTATATTAACATATACACACATGCACACAGAGGTATATCTATCAGAGGAGAGAGCACATATGTGAAAGGAAAAACTGAACATGCTGTTTACTGAGGCTGAATTGTATCTAAGGAGAAGCATAAAACCAGGGCACTGGTGTCTCTTGGTGCTTCTGGTTGAAGCTGCTGAGGTTGGCCAAAGAGGTTAGCTGGGCAGATGGGGGATTTTCCACTTCCAGCCCTGTCTTGCCAGCTTCCAGGACAGCACTGAGGTGTCTGACAGATTTGAGTCCCCTTCCCTGTCACTTGCTATTCTTCGAGGAATCAGTTCCAGAAGGCAGGAAACAGCAGGTCTGAGCAACCAGCAGGTCGAGGTTAGACCACCATCATTCCGGCACGTAGAGGTTGCTGGTGGAATTTGGATCGTCCACTGGCCGTGTCTCTAATACAATGGTGCTGGCAAGGAAGGAGAAGGGAAAGAAAAAAAATCAGCTGGGGACCTGGGAGGAGGCTGTTCTGTGGTTGCAGGATGGCCATGCTAGATGAGAATGCTGGGAACAATAGCCCCAACACAGCCAAAGGCTACAGGTTGAAAAAGGTGGTCTCAAAGAGCCAACGAAAAGAAGCCCCACTCATTTAGTACAGGACCCATGCAAGGAAGCTAGGAGGAGCAGCCAACTTCTGAAGGCCACAAGGGGGTGCGGAAAGTTGCATGGATGGTAGAAGGACAGAGATGAAGTAGAAGGTCTTCAAACCTGGAGGCTCCCAGTAGGCGGAAGGTCCACCGTTGATCCTGCAGCTCCTGTGCTACCTGAGAAGAAGCATCAGATCAGGATGAATGGTTACTTGATGCCTCTAAATGGAGGCAAGCTGAGCCTCCAACTAGGAATTGTTGGACTTCTACCTACAGATCAGCAATGAGATGAGTAGGATGCTCTCACTGTTGGCAGGATTAATACCTCCTTTCCCCCATCTCTGGGGGAAAA